TTTTCTTTTCCATCTAAGAGCAAAGTCCAGATTCTAAATAATGACAATTAAATTATTTTGTATTTTCCGTATAATAATAATAAAGATTGAGTGGGTCGTGTAACGTGATAATCGATCAAAAACCAAATTCCACTATGCTATCTAACACAACTGGGAAATATCTTATCACAATATTTTTCATCTTGGAAGTGATGGTGTTTCTAACATGATTGGTATGAAATTGATGAAATAATTGTTTAATTATGCAAAAATTTAATTTTGTCAACTAATTCATTTTAATTATTAGGACACATGAGTGGTGGGTGTACAACAAGATTTAAAAAAATCAAACCATTGTATATCACATAGACTTTATCTAGCTGGAAAAGATAGAAGCGATTCACAATAATTCGGTGCTTGTCAAATTATTAGTTTTCGAATTTACTTTGGTTCTCGATTGTTAGTCTAAATCAAATTGCGTTACTAATCATTGTTAACACTCACTAGTTAACCACCATTAGTTTTATTTAACCTTGCTTGCTCACTAAAGCAAATAACACGTAACTTTTTACCAAAGCTCCACAATTGCTACCTTTTACCAGAGCAATATGCTTGTTTCTTTTATCAAAGCGTTTTAAATAAAGACTACGTTTTTATTTTTATTCTTGTTTATTTAATAATGATTCTATCATAGAATTTTATTTTACTAGAATTTTAATTATCCATTATTTTACTCCCATTTTTCAAGCAAGAACCCGATGTTATTCTTGTTTTTTAAAGCGAAGACCAGAAGTTATTCTTAATGAAATTTTCGTTGATTATTACAAAGTGACTTAATAATCACTACTTATATTATAAAAATTTCCACAGTAACAATTATAAAAAGCTTTTGCATAAATTTTCATTTGATAATAATTATGCATAAAATTAATTGTCCCCAGAACATAAATACCCGATGATTTATCTACCCATGTTATTAATATTAACAAATTTTTGAGTTTGGTGGTAAATGAATGCATGGAAATGAATTTGTATTCAGCAAAAGAGAAGCTTAGCTCCTTGGGAACAACTTATGAAACAAGGAAACAATAATTGAAGAATTAGGGATGTTGGCTGATAGAAAAACCTTAGCCGGCTAAGAACTTAATATATCCCAGTCGATGAAAACCTTTTCATATGGTACTAAGCTTTCCGGGATTATTATTACCACTACCGTCGTTATTATTATTATAATATCTCGACTTTAATGGGTTCAAATTATTTGTTTTATTCGTTATGTATTCGAATTACATTGAAAGTTTTATTCAAATAAACGAATAATTCGAATAGAACGAATACTTTTATCCTGCTATGATGTATTGTATTTTGCTTTTTGAGCAAATGTATGTTTTTTTTTGTCATTTTAAGTAATGCAGGTGAACCCATTTCAACTAAATGTTTATGTCACGGAATTCTGCACTAAAATTCTAGACGTAAAAATGAATATTAAGAGAAATTTTTTTTAGCCGGCTAACATCACTAATATTTATATGGGGAATTTATAGTAATAGTAATAGCAAAATTTTTTCGAGTTACGATGTTGCACGTATTTTTGATATATTTTAAGCCTTGTATTATTGTATCAAGTAAACAATGTCTAAAATTTTCGCCGGTTATAATCCTTCTGGTATAGATATATATTATGCAGAAAATTCAATTTGGTCTGGAAACCTTATACCTGGTTTTTTCTAGAAATCCCCCATGTGCTTTTTTTGTGAGCTTTTTATATTTTAATTATTAGTCTTTGAAGCAATTTTACTTACGTCAAATGTTAATGGCAGCAAATTTGACATAATTATTTTACAACTTTGGTAACATTCCATCAAATAACGATAATATGGAAAATTAATAATATCATATTTATTTATTGACCTAAGGAAGAAAAAAGTATTACGAAAATGATGCTAAGTGAATTCAAATATTACTAAAATGTGTAAATATATCAATTTGAACGAATAGAATGATAATATTTAAAAACAGAGTCTCTTAACCTTTGATCACATTTTTTGCAATGGATCTTTTCTTCCGTACACCTTTCGATGATTCCAGCCGTTAAATTATTTGGTAACTTAATATTCGCATCTCTATCCATCAATTCTAATGCAATGATGTGTGACTCAAAAATATCAAGTTGTTGTTTCCAAAACTGTATTAACGTTTCTAAATGTGTTAAAATTACTGGTAAATTTATTGAAATTTTCTTCTCGTATTTCCTGAGTTTTTTTTGTTCTTCATTATTCATCATAGTGCCATTCTTTCTATTGAATGCAATAAAACATATACCAAAAACCCCAAAGGATAGAATGGATTGTAATCCAAAATAAAATAACTTTCCTGGCATGTCAATTAAAATTTGATACCATTGCACAATGTAAGATAACGGAAAATATATTAAGGCAGTAATCGACATGGGCTTAGCTAATACGAGCTTTGGTGATTGACTAATACTAAGGTTTTTAGTGATATAAGTTGATATGGATTCTCCAATATTTTCAAATTCGATTTTTAATTCCTCAGATTTACTAATTCTTTTTTTTGCCACATCCTTTATCATTAATACTGTTTCCAACAAGTCATCGACAGTGACATTATCTTCTGTAAGCATTTTAAAATATTTTATGAAATCCTCCAAATCCATTGACATCTTTAAAGATTCTTTAGCTCTTGCACTAACAAAGTCATTAAATCCACGATTTAAATTATCTAATTGCTTAATATCATTGTTAATGCCAAAATTTTTAATATATAATTCTTTTAAATGTCGAAAAGATTCAAGTATATTTTCAATAGGTTTTGAAAGGATATCATGGTTAGGAAATATTGACTTTTCATATTGATTTAATTTAAACAAAGCCATTTTTAACATTAACTGTTGAAAATATATGTTCCCTTATATAGAGAAATTCAGAATACCAACTATCCTGAGTAAGATAAAATGGCCGTATTTCTACCAATCAAAATAAAGATAACGCAACCATACCATATTCATGTTTTAAAAACAAACATTGATTTAAGTGTCATCCACTACGTTTTACATGACAATTATCCAATAACTATTAGTGTTGATGCAAGTTCGTTGCTCCCAAAAACGGTGCACATTGTACACTACACTACACTATTCTTTGTACAGAATTTGTGTACACAGAATTTGATTGGAGTACTACTAACTAGTACGGAATTGAAAAGTGTACAGAATCTCTAACAGCCGCCAAAAATGGTATGAATGGGCCTTATTTTTTAAGAGAAAAAGGAATTCTTATCAATTGCTTTATGAAAAACTTGTCATTGATTCCAAAAATGGGCCTTATTTTTTTTAAGAGATAAGGAAATTCTTATCAATTTCTTTATGAAGGGCTTTGATTGAACTAATTTATCTTGTCTTTGATTCCAAAAATGGGCCTTAACTTTTAAAGAAGAAAGAAGTTCTTGTCAATTGCTTTACAAAAAATTTTGATTGAGCCTAATTCTAATAATATAGCTTTCATTGTTTCCAAAAATGGTGCACTCATAGACTATTTTAGTTACGTTAGCCAGTTAACCTATTTGGGTTGATGTAAAAGCTAGAAGGAAAGACAAAGTTTCGTGTTAAATATAAATATCGCAGTCATGAACTTTATGAAGAGTTTTATAATCATAAGATTTTTTTTAAAAGAAAGTCTTATCAATTGTTTTACAAAAAATTTTGGTTGAACCAAAATTGAAAACTTTGAAAAAATCTTTTAAATTAAATCCAATAAGTGAAAATGACAGAAATATATAAACCTCCAAATCTTCCTACTATAAAGCATTTATCCAGCACGGTTCAAACATTGACTCAATCTTTTAGAGATGCTAGTAGTGAGACTTTGGATTTTAAAAATGAATTTTTTGAAAGTAAAATTTCGTTGATTAAAAAGGAGAGAATGGAATTCCGTTCAGTTGCTACTGACATAACTCACCAATGTGACAGCTTAGTTAAATTTGGTGAAGAATTAATGATCTTTATTGAATCTCATAGTGATGAGTCTGTTCCTAACGAAGATTTATTGGAATGTTTGAATGATTTTTTAAGAGTTGCTAAAAAAAATAAAACTGCAACAGAAACTACCCAATCCAAAATTAAATCTCTCGCAGATAATATGAAAACCGTTCATGATGAGTTGGTGGATTTTGATTTAGACAATATGGAAAATATTGATCCTAAAACATATAAAAACTTAAAAATGACTAAAGTAATTTCAACGCTCGCTTGTATTATGGGTGGAACTTTATTGCTATTCACTGTACCAGTTGCTGGAGCAGCAGTGTTGGCAGCAGAGGCAGAAGTAGCAGCAGCAGCAATAGTAGGAGCAGTATATGGAGGAGCTTATGTAAATTTAGGTGCGACAAAAAAAAAAGAAGCTGACAAATTAAGTGTCGTTTTAAGTCAAAATAAAAAACAAATGAAGGCCAAATTAGAAAGTTTGCAAGATAATTCTTCTCTGATACATTTGACTTTACGTGATATTGAAGGTTTCTGGGAGTCTCGTGTTTCTGAATTAGAAAGACTTATTGAACGGTTTGAAAGCTTCAGTAAACGTGAATCTCGTCCTAGCAAATTATTTATTAGACGTTTTGAAGAAGAGTGGAAGGAAATAATTAAAGAATATAAAGGTTGCTCTCGTATTATAAGAAAGGAAATAGAGAATGATATGAAATAATCGTACTATAAAATAAGTTCATATATTTGGGTCGCTTTAAAAAGTATATAATGGGTAAATGAAATCATTTTTATATTTATTTAACTATAATTTAGGATGTTTATTTTATTATTGTACGTACTTATATATATATATATATATCAGATATATTATTACTAGGTTGTTCGTTGACATTTATTGATTAATAAAATGGGCTATGACCAAAATTTTATTGAACTGCGGTTAAACTGAGTTCTTTTCCTTTTATTTTTTATTGCTATATGCGAGATTGTCAAGTAGAAATTGATAATGTTTTATAATATGTTTTCACTTTATCACCAATTATTCAAATTTCTGGCCAATTCCTTTACACCCGTACCTTTTTTCTTCTTTCATCAATAATTCAAATTCCCGATAGTAACAATGATGATAATAATGATGATGATAAAAACACTATTCCCGGGAATGGATGAGTAGAGATGAAATACGAATCGGGTTCGAAAATTCTATGGTTCCAACTTCGTGATTCGAATAAAATACAAAATTAAATAAACCAACAATAAACCGAAGTTGGTTTCAGAATTAGTTATAGTAAATTTTCAAAATTTCTACTAATAGTCAGTTCTTATATGCAAAATTTTTGATTCTATAACATTTTTATTAAATTAATAATAAAACTTTGACCAAAATTTCTTTGACAAAATATTTCTCGCTTAAAAAAAAATCAATTATTCAAAAACACATGATAACCTTCAACATACTATAATATTTGATTTTAATAAAGGACCTTGCTTGTAAGGGTAAAGGCAAATATTAATACCAAAGTTCCCTAAGGACAATTACATCTGTGACAAAAATTATCACAATTAGTTATTAAGTAATAAAATGATTGATTCTTTTCGTTTTTACTTAATAAGCCACTTTTGTGGTTGAAAATTAAACAATAAGGTTTAATTGTCCATTTGTTATAGAACTTTGGGGTTTTGTGATTCGGCTTGGTTATTTTCTAAATGAAAAAGCATAGTAGTATAATAATAAATTTTCCGTATGTGTAACGAAAATAATGGTGGTTCAACAAATTGGTATTTTGAATGATATATTATAATAAAATTGCATGACTCGATCATATTCGTTCGGAGCATCAAAATTAGCACTGGATGCGAAACATATTAACACCCTATCATGTATCCATGACCAATGATGCAATCTTTAATAAAAATAGACTATTTCATGACCAGATGGTGCATTGATCGAGTAGTCTAATAAATTACAACAAAAACATATAAATAGACCCACTACCCCGCTCGTGGACCAAAAAATATGTGCATTGGTTTTGCTTTTTACGTTGTATTCGGATTCGAGAGACGAGGCACGTAGTGCTAAAATTGGGTTCTATGTATGATTTGACTTTACACGCGTTACATTCAAATGCAAGGTATCCATCTATTATATTCGTTCGGAGTATTATTATATCAATATTTTTGTTTTATTCGTTGCGTTGAGCAAAATGTTTGTTTGTTTGTTTGTTTGTTCACATACAAGGGGAAATCGTTCACGAATTTAATAAATTTAATAAAGGATCCATCGCAAAGAAGAACCCTCATGTGAATCAAAAGTTATTTACGAATTTAGATTGTTAGAAAAATCAACAAAGCTTTTTTTTTTTAATCAAAAAAAAGATCATTTAGTTTTCCTCATGTTTATTTATTTATCACAGATTAAAGATCAATGGATTAATTGGATTTTTTTTCAAGTCTATCGCTATATAAGAATAAAGCTTCATGCCAATATTAAAAGTTATTTACAAATTTCAATTGTTAAAAAAAAAAATCAACAAAGCTTTTTTTTCTTAATAAAGAAAAATCTTTTGCAAAGATTATTTCAACTAAAAATAAATTTTTCCTTATCCAGATAAAATAATAATATAATAATAAACTTTTCCTATCAGGATCATCCACAATCAAAAAAATTTTGTACATATTGTTTGTTTATTGATCATTGAATTGACCGATAATGACAACAAATAAAATGTAAAAAGTGTTTTTAACCCTGGTCTTGTGACCAGAAAATATCACTAACACGTTGTGTGACAAGCCTTTGACGATCCGAGGTAAAGGTTACAAGACAAGACCATCAGTTTTTGGTCATTTTGAACGGTATGAAATGTCAGAGCAAGACGAAGACCTAAAGCGAAACACGGCGATTTCCTTTCAGTCAAATATCTATTTCACTCAACCTGACATTTTAAACCAAAACAGATAAGTTTTTCAGTTTCACAAATCATGACAAACAAATAACAATTGGGATTTACACGGTACGGTGACGTAAAATAATCACAACCATTTATCATTTTTTTGGAAAACGAAAATATTTCTGTTCAGATTTCAATTTTTATTAATTAACTAGTGAGTGTTAACGTAATTTGCTTTAATGAGCAAGCAAGGTTAGGACTAACGTTAGTTAACTACTGAATGTTAATGAAGTATTGTCTAAAGGTTAATCGGAAATATTGGTGGTATTATTATTATTGTAATCGTAAACGTGAGGCTGTTGAACAAGTTACTTAAGTTGTTTTGTAAATAAACAAAGCGAGTTTGCAGTCAGCCGATAAATATAAACAACGAGTGAATAAAAGGAACTTTGTAGCTTTGTAAAAGGGCCATATTTATTCAGGTGCAAGAAAGAGGTGAGAGCCAAAGTAACTCGTAAACTAATTAATTGACAAGCACGGGATTTATTGTGAGTTGCTTGCAATTAACTGGCAAGAGTGGCCCAAAAGTTGAACTGCAATCATCAATATCACAAATCAAAAGTTTATTATTTCAAATAATATTATAATTTAGCTTTAAGAAACAAATAAGGATAAAATAAAAAGATAATGAATAAATTTATAGTGGAAATTAAATTAATCATTCATCAATCTTTCTTCTTTTGCTATTATTACTAGAGTCTAATTAAATAAATAATATGTTAGTAATTGATAGTAATTCCAATTAATTAATAATGAAATTAATTTTTATTCACCTTTGTTAAAATCAAGATTATTTTCATTATTTGTATAACGTTTTAAGATTTTATATTTAGCAATATCTTCTTCTAAGATTCTACTCGTATGATATGCACCTGGATGTGATTCATGTACTTGTTGTGAATCATTACTACTACTAGTAATATTATTACTACTATTACCACTATTATTACCACTACTAGTAATATTATTATTACCACTACTACTAATACCACCACTATCGCCACTACCACTACCACTGATATCACTATTATTATTAAGAATTTCTTCATATTTATCATAAGCAAACTCAAAAAGCTCTCTGATAGTTGGCCTTTTTGATGGATCCACATCCCAACACTTCTGCATCATTTGCACATAGTCGTCAGGCATTCCTGATAATATTGGTGGTCGTAAACCTGCACATATATCAACCATTAAGTGATGATTGTGAGCTTTATCATTAAATGGTGGGTGACCTGCAAATATTTCCCACATTAACATCCCAATACTATAGATATCAGATTCTTTTGTGTTCTTTTCACCATTAAATAACTCAGGTGCAATATATGATACAATTCCATAGACTTTATTTGATAACTTTTCATCAACTGGTCCACATAATCCTAAATCTGTAATATAATAACCACCTCCTTCTATAAGTATATTACCACTATGTAAATCACAATGGATTAAATCTTTTTTATGTATATCTTCTAATGCATCACATAAATCACTAAAGATTGTAATTCTGTCTTTTAATGTTAAATTATGATGATTTTTTTGTAAATAATCCCTTAAATTTCCTTCTTTCAAATAATTTAAAACTATTGCATAATTTCCATTATCTGGGAATTTGGTTATGCCAAAGCAATTAACAATCAGTGCTGCTTTGATTTTACAATAATTCACTGCCTGAAATAAATATAAAACCAATTAGTATTATATAACACAGTATTGTTTATTTTGTTTTAAATGACAACTACCAACCTCATCAAAAAAATGTTTTCCTGGATTACTTGAATTATTTAAACTTTTTAATACTACATATTGCCTTCCAAAATAACTAAACTCCTTTTTATTTTCATCATAATCAACAATACTTCCTCTTGTCCATGTAGCTTTATAAATTGAGCTAAATCCACCTTCAGTTAACTTTTTTACATTTTCAAATTGCTCAAAAGGTATCCATTCTAAAATATTGTATGGCAGAGATGATTTCATTTGACATTGTTGAATAAAATTGTCAATTATATTATTTCCAGATGTCCAAGTGGTGAAGAAACTCTGTAATTGTAAACTAATACAACTTTCACAGAATTTATCAGAGTATCTTGTCAATTTACACTTGTTACATTCTTTTGGTTTGCCCAATTTATTATTTGCATTATATAATTCAAACTCATAAATAATCCTTTCTTTACAGTATTCTTTTTCAATTTCAGAAAGCTCCTTGTTTTTTTGAACTAATGAAAAAAAATAATCTTTTCTACTTTCTAAATCGGAATTAACATAAGTATTATCATACATTTCATTATAAATTTTAGATACAAATTCCCTTCTTTCTGGTGATAACGATGATAATAGCTTAAGAAATGACATTATATAAAATAAATGTTTTTGGTGTTTTAATGAATAGTTTTTTGAGAATGAATGTTAATTTATAATTTTTTTTTTCTTTGCGGAGCGTGTAACAAACAATTTTCTCGCAATATTATTTGTACATTTCCTAATGAATAATAATTCACCTTTTGTTATAATAATAACGGGTTTTTTTTGACAGTTAAATAGTTTATGAAAATAGAAATTGCATCATCACCAAACTTTAGCGATTGATAAGAATTTCAGGATTTTTTTTGTTTTACTATTTTCATCAATTTTAAAACTACAAACACCTGCACCTAAACTTGTCTCATCTATTATATACGTAATAGTTATTTTACGGAGACTAACGCCCCTAATGAAAAAAATTTATTTTTCAATGAAAAAGTTTATTTTTACATAAAAGTCTTTTTTTTGCTTATGATAAAAAAATACAATTTACCTTTTGTACTCTTTCTTAAAACATTTCTTTATTTAGTAAAAATGCGTCAAATTCACAACAAAAAGCAAAGAGATCCCAAACAAGCATTTCAACCTATTTTTACTAATGCAAGCCTGCTCCTTTTCCAAAAAGTTTCGATTCTACTTTACCAGTTGATTCTATTTCTCAAAGTATTTCAAATACCATTTCAACAAGCGCCATCTGAAATTTATGAGAAACTTAATTTTTATCGTCAAAAAGCCATTGTTGCAAATACTGAAAAATCAACTTGAAGGGTTATTAAATTTGAAGAATTTCGCAAGGATTATAATTACATTATGCCACTTGATAAGATTACGAATTCCGAATTAATTAATTAATTGAACAACAGGTCATAAAAGCATACAAGGTATTCGTGCGTATAAAGAAGTAAATGAAAAAAAACATCTTGCTGCTATGGATACTTTGATCCATGTTTTAGAACCAACAAGATCAATTTTTGGCGATTCAACTTCGATAATGCTACATCGGAATTTCTTCTGATGATACAGAAAAGAAATTTCCTATTTTTAATAATTGTAGTTTTAATATAATAAAGTTTAAAAATGATTTGCATTTAATATTTTCACGGTTTTTAAAATATCACTATTAAAAATCACGGATGACCATTAGTAAACGTGGATAAGTGCCAATATTGACCAGCCTATGTGTGTTTCAAACTCAGGCACTCAAGCATGTTTTATTTTATTATTAATATTACTCTATATTTACTATTACACATAGTTAACTTCAAAGTCAAAAGTTAATCAAAAACTAATTTAACACAACTACTAACTCTACATATTAATATTGACATGCCTACATATTTAAACTCAGACACTAAAGACAATTTCAAATGCATTTGAACTTTTTCATTTTATGAAATGCAATAATAAGAGAAGAAATATTAGCAGTTAGTAATAGTTGTAGTAATAATTAAAGAATATTAGCAACAGTTTTTATAATTGTAATTTGTAGAAAGTATAATTTACAAAAAAAAATTTTAGTTTCAAAAGTTTCCAAATAACTATGCAATCTTTTTAAAAAATCATGAATAAAAATATACAAGTTGAACAGTGCTGATATGCTTCACAATTTTATGTTGGTTTCTTTGTTTTTTTAAAAAAAGTGCCATATAGTAATGTTAACCAAAAAATGAATTCAATATTAGAAAAAGGTGAAAATTTTATTTTGAATTATTTTGGTTGAAATATAGTAGAAATTATTATATATGATAAATATTTTTTAGCACTTGATGGTTGGTCATCTCCTAGAATTACTTCAGTTTGGAATTTTATTATTCACACACCTACCAGAAAACAATTTTTGTATCAATTAAAAGATTTTTCTTCAGAAAACCATATAGCTAACTATATTGCCAATCAAATTGAAGACATAACTAATAAAAGTGGATCAAATAAATTTTCTGCTGTTGTCAGTGATGGCGCTGCAAATTTACGGGAGGCAAGAAAAATAATATCAAAAAATTTTCCTAATATATTGAATATTAGGTGCATTGCACATTGTATCCAAAGATCATAAAGCATAAATTAGCAAAGCAATTATTATTAAATTGAGGTTGGCTGTGTTATATATTATATGTTTGTGCGTGACTTTTGTCGATGTAGTGTATATTATTCGAATTACAAAGTTGGAACCATTGAATTTTCGAACCGGTTCGTACTTCAGCTCTACTCATCTACTCTCGGAATAATGTTTAGTGATTTATATTATTTTTGTTACTATCAGGAATTTGAATTATTGATGGAAGAAGGAAGAAGGTACAGGTGCAAATGAATTGACCAGAAATTTGAATAATTGATGATGAAGTGAAAGCATATTATAAACCATTATCAATTCTTTCGCTACTTGAACTTGACATTCTTGTATATAGCGATGAAAAAATAAGAAGGGGAGAACTCAGCTTAACCGCAGTTCAATAAACTTTGGTCGTAACCCATTTTATTTTTTTTAATAAATCAATTATTTATCAATGTCAACAAATATTTTAAAAGATAACATAATAATAATACATATATATAAATACATATAATAATATAGTTAATAACAATAATAAAAATAATTTCGTTTGATCCATTATATAATTTTTAAAGTGACCCACTTATTTTCATACCAAACAAATCAGTACGTACGATTATTTCTATTTATATCATTCTCTATTTCATTTCTCATGGTACGAGAACAACCTTTACATTCTTCAATTATTTCCTTCCATTGTTCTTCAAAGCGTCTAATAAATAACTTGCTAGGGCGAGCTCCACGTTCAATGGTGCTTTCAAATTGTTCAATAATTCTTTCTAATTCACTAACGCGAGTTCCCCAGAAATTTTCAATATCATGTAAAGTCGAAGCTATCATGGAAGAGCTATTTTATATACTTTCTGATTTAGCCTCCATTAGTTCTTTCTTTTCGTTTAAAATGCCATCTAATACTTTAGCTTCTATTTCTTTCTCTGTAGCAACTGAATTTGCCACGCTCGAACCATGCATATAAAATGCCCCTGTAACTCCTGAACATACTGCTGCTGCTACTATTTCTGCTTCTGCTACTACTACTGCTACTCCAGCAATTGGTACAGTGATAAGTAATAAAGCTCCACCTATAATACCAGTGACTGTTGATATTGCGGCAAAAATTTTTGCGTCTGATTCAGCATTTTCTTTTATCTTGTTTATTTTAGGATCAACATTATTCTTATTATTTAAATCAAAATCCCTGAATTCACTATGAATTGTTTTTATATTATTCACGAGAGATTTAATTGTGGAGTGGGTAGTAAGTGAGATTTAATTGAGATTTTTGAATACGAGCCACCTAGTTTTTTGATAATTAGATAAATATATCTAATAAAAGCCAAACACCAATCAAGAGAAACATACCATCTTCAAATCTCCTAATGTGTTCTTTCATAGTACTGCCACCTATTAATAATTCGACAGCCCATTGCTCACTAGAAACGTAGAAATCAACCAACCCATCATTTGTGAATGGTTTTCCTACTGATCGTAATAGATAGGACCCGGGATGAAGACAGCTATATCCTGCACTGTAAAATTCCATATACCATGCTATTACTGATAAGTTTCCGTCTTTAGATCTTGCTACGCTATGAATCAATACATTTGAATCCATCTTAGACAATGTCTTTTTCACAAAGATTTCTAAATTAATTTTATTTTGTCTCTTTTCTTCAAATTCATACTTATTTTTTCGCTTGCTTTCTCATCTTCATCCTCACTTTCTTCTTCATCTTTGTCTCCCTCTGTTTTTTTTTTTTTTTAATTATATTATTTTTTATTTTTCGAAACCAAAAAATTCAACATTTTGAGAAATATACGTTACCTGGATTTAGGTCATCAATAAAATTGCATATCATATCATAAGTGTCCAAATTACTTTCAACAGATTTTCTTTCTATAATGATAGAAAACTAATTAGTTTAAACATTTAATAAAAATTATCAAAAAAAGAAAAAAGCAATCATCAGAAATAGCAGAATAATGTTGCGACTTGATCTGGCCCCCTACTAAGTTACTCATAATGAGTGGCCCCGTTCAGGTATAATTCACTGTCTCTAATGGACCTTGCTCTCTAACGGACTGAAAAATGCCTGATTTATATATTTCATTAGAGAGAGTGAACTGTAGTCTATTAAGTTACTCTCATGGAGTGGCCCCGTTCAACAACCAGATTCAGATTAAATGAACTTACTATAATCATCATATTAATGTATACTAAATAAATATTTAAAATAATTTACCTCGATCCTTTTCTTGATATTACTTGCAACTAATTTTGTTTCAAATTTTTCTGAAAGTTGTTTTATAATTCTTTGAATTATACCGTACCGTTAATGCTACCCTTGTGTTTATGTCTCTCCTTTTTTAAAAAGAGGATGAATTTTGTGATTGCTTCTTTCCAATTACTATTATTGCAATAAAAATTTTGCAATATGCTTGCCAATATCCGACATTTTTATGATAATATAGAACAAAGTAAGCAAACTTTCCACCAACCATTTTATATAGAATATATACTTAGAAATTATTAACGTCATATTTTAACTTTGAATGTATTAGTGTATTGGCGTTTATTAGCTAAGAAAGCAAACAAATAAAATTGGTGTAGCCAATTTTTTCTTTTAAGCTTATAAGTTTATATTTTTTTTTTATGATGAAATGATGATGTTGTATGTGAAATTGAAACCATGTGAAATCGAAATTTTATAATTAGTTTTGGTGTTTGGATATGAAATTCTGATTGGCTAATTTGAATTTCACGTATGTGAATTGCAAATATAGATTTCATTTTCACACACAACATGGACAAAAAGATTTTGATTTATCGCGGCCAAGCAGAAAATGTCTTTTTAACTGCTTTAGAAATAATGACGAAAAAAACTAGTGGTAAGCATAGGTTCGTGTAATCATCACATTACACAAGCATCAGGAATTTAAAAAATTTAATTACATTCAATTTTTACAAAGCATATTTTATTTTACAGCGTTGTTAGCTTTTGCAACCCATCAATGCTCACAACCTCCAACCTTTATACTCTTCCAAAAGCGCTTTGGAAATTTTTAATTGGGAATAATCAAAGTCAAGGATTTGCAGTTTTCCCATCGACTCATTGCAACATTCAATGTTACATGTGACAAGGTCAATCCTTGAGTTTTATGAACAGTCTGAGCAAACGCATTCTGAAGAGGAAATTGATTCCTTGATGCTCTTTTACCATAAACTTCAAAGTAAGTTGTTTCTCTTTGGACAATAACCTTGCTTATGCTGGCCAAGGTAGGAAAGGACACCTCAACATTCTCTTCATCATAAATCTTTGTCACTATTCCAATAGTTCTATTGCATATTTTTTCATTAAATAGCTTATTATTAAGAAACATCACGCGTGCACCTTCTTGTACTGTAAATACAATTTATGAGACAAGTTTGTTAAGTTTTTGAATTAAGCAATTGAGTGATCATCATTTGATATTTCAAATTCCAGTGTGTCTATGCGTTCAGAAATCATTGGATAATTGCATGTTTCATCAAAAGAGAGGTGATTAAATAATATTGTGTTGAGGGATTGAGCTGCTTTTTGAGTGTCAACCACATGCGTGGTATCATAGAAACTACAAAGGTCAGTTTCTTGTTAATTTTTGTTTATATTATTCGCTTGCTTCTAACTGATAAAGTTCCTGTTCTTATCTCTTGGAGGATCGTGTAAAATTCAACATCATTTATCTGTCTTTGTGGTATAGAGCTAGGTCTCCCACGACAAGTGTTGGCATTTCTCCAAAGATAAGATTGTTTTTATGAATTTTAGCAAAGATGTTGCTAACAAACGTGAAAAGATCACCATTGTTTTAGAGTCATCTATACATACAGTATGTATAGTTAACCAAAAAATTTTCAATTCAAGATATAGTAATGATAAGGAAAAACTGCACGTACATATTCACATATTCGACTCCCTCTTCCATAACGTATCTCTCGACCAGGACGACAATTGAATGCTTGGAAAAATTCAACACATTTTTGCCTTGTCATAATATCCTTTGAAGCCAATTTCTCTAAAAACATTGTCCTTTTTATAAAGAACAGTTCCGCTGATCGTTCTCTCGGTAGAAGTTACGTGTTTAATGAAAAAATGTTATTTTATTATTATTATTTTTTTTTTTTTCAAATTAATTATTAATTGTTTTGTATATTTTAAACGATTTACGGTTCATACTCTACCGCTATTTTTTATATTAATGAGATTGCTAAATAATGAATCAAAATTTCGAATTGTTGCATTTTTATTCTTCACAATAAGCAACAGGAGATCTTTTTCGAAAAAAGCTTTGCTCAATTCCTTCAACAATAACGTTTTTCAAAAAAAAGGCGCGGTTCAATGTTTTAATTAAATTAAAAAAATTAAATTAATTCCGAATCGTTACATTTTTCTTCTTCAAGTAAGCAACAGGAGAACCTTTTTTCGAAAAAAACTTCGTCAATTCCTTCAACAATAACATTTTTTTCACATTTTCAAGAAAAGGCGCGGTTCGATGTTTTAATTAAATTAAAAAGTTATTAATTCCGAATCGTTACGTTTTTTTCTTCACACTTTCAACAAAGGCATGGTCGTTTTTAATATTAGAAAAATAATAATAAAATTAGTTTCGAATCGCATGGTCATTTTTAATATTAGAGAAATAATAATAATACAAGTCAGTGATATCTTAAAAAGTTCTATAGTGCAAGTCACTTAGTCGCTGAACTTTTTATTGGCTGTGTAGATCCTATATCCTCTCCAAAAATGGAAATGTA